ATAATGATAAAAATGAAAAAGTAAATGATAAGGCACCTATATAGTGCACTTTGCCCCAATAGCTGTTTTAAAATATAAATAACTTTAGCATGAATCAATAAGAAAGTGTGCTCCTGAATGATACTGAGCTTTCCGCTGTTTCACTATTGGAACTGAATACTTTTGGCGACTTTGTGAGCTTCCCTGCCTTGGAAAATATGAAGACAAAATAACTTTTTTGTGGGCTAGTGTTGACTGTTGAGTCTCGGGACTTTACAAAAAGAAGTGTCAGCTTTGAAGACAAACACACACAGAAGGACAGGACAACCTCTTTACCCTTGCTTCATGCCTCGCATGGCTGGGGTAATGACTACCTGTACCTATACCTCACATGGTAGGCAAGGTGAAAAAAGGTAAGGAATTATAGGTACTTGCACTGCCTTATGAATCCTAATCCTTTATCTTTCATGCAATGCTTTGGGCATGATTGCAATGCATTGTATTGACAATTTTGTAGCCAAGTGCCTGCAGGCTCAGCACAATAAAACAAAATGGCAGGTTTTATTTTGGCAACTTCAGCATATAGAATTGCCAATTGCAAAAATCTTGTAGATTGATTAATTATTATGTGTGTAGAGGAACAACAGAACTCCATTGTTCAATGCTGTTAGGAGTGGTAATATTGGAGCTGTTTACATTCTATTAACTAATGGAGCCAGAGCTGATATTGTGTATAAAGTAAGCAATTCTACTTAAATAAGTGTTACCAAGAGTACATAATATTATGTACTCTTGGTGTTACAGAAATTATAGTTACTCGCATGCAGCATAAGCAGACTGCATGACCTAGCTGTATGTTTTTCCCAAAATATTTTTTTGCAAATTTGCCTAAGAATTTTTTTGCAGATTAAATTATTGTGACATTATACAGTCTGTCATCTTAAGCTGTAAGAAATTGATTTCTGTACAATTAATTTTTTGAAAATTTTCAAAAATTTACAGCCCTTGACAATTTTTCGCTGGTACTCTAGGATGGTGAAACTTTACTGCATTATGCTAGTGAATCTGGTAAAGTTGAAATGCTCGAGTTATTTATTAGGAGAGGAGATTATGATGTTAATGTTAGTGACAAGGTAATTTTTCGAAAATATCCCTCAGTCACTTAACTCACTGTAATTATGTTGTATTATAGCGGAAGAGAACACCATTGTTTAATGCTGTTAAGAGTGGTAGCATTGAAGCTGTTGATATTCTATTAACTAATGGAGCTAAAACTGACGTTGTATCAAATGTGAGTAAATTTAATTTTACAAAAAATAATGTTACATACACTTGTTATACTAATTTATATATAGAGCTGTGCTGATTCATGTATTTTTGACTTATGTTTTTCAACCTTATAAATGGCTTAGATGAGTTTTACTCTATTAAGGAATCCTGGTACCTTTAAATTGAAGTGAAGCTTTCAAAAATTTAAATTCTTACCTTAGGGCACCTTTTTTTTGAGGGCTGTAGTTTTGCTGATTTTGCAATTTTTTAAACATTTGCGAAAATTACTTCTGCAAAAATCAAATTAATATGGTACAAGATGGGAGACAGCATATATTTGCAAAAATTAAATCCAGAAATTAAAAATTTGCAAAATCTATAGCCCTCAAAAAAGGCGTCCTACGGTATTTTTATGAACATACTTTTATCCTAATTACAGGATGGTGTAACTCTACTGCATTGTGCTGGTGAATCTGGTAAAGTTGAAATGCTTGAGTTTTGGATTAGGAGAGGAGATTATGATGTGAATGTTAAAGATAAAGTAATTTATTTCAAATTGTCAGCAACTTTATGTTAGTTGTATCGTAGAACAACAGAACTCCATTGTTTAATGCTGTTACTAGTGGTAGTGTTGAAGCTGTTGAAATTCTATTAGATAATGGTGCTAATACTGATGTTGTGGATAAAGTAAGTGAAGTAATGTTGTATTGGACTCAATTAGCATACTTTCTGTTTTGTTGCATGGAATAATTTGTATTATGTCATATCATGTGTTATTGTTATTACTGTAGGATAGTAAAAGTCTACTACATTATGCTGGTGAATCTGGTGAAATTGAAATGCTTGAGTTTTGGATTAGAAGAGAAGATTATGATCTGAATGTTAAAGATAAAGTATAATTTATTTTAAATTAATAGTCAATTTTTGTTGCATTATATAGAGGAACAGAACTCCATTGTTTAATGCTGTTAATAGTGGTAGCATTGAAGCTGTTGATATTTTATTAACTAAAGGAGCTAGAAGTGATGTTGTGTCTAAAGTAAGTATATGAGACACCATTGGTGCATTGGCCTCATCAAAACTTGATTGCTAGAGTTGTCTCAGTAAACAGTGAAAGTGTCAAATCTCAACAGCTAGAGTAAAATGGTGTCTCTTGGACTAACTGCTGGAAGAAGCTTAAGTTTCTTGGACTTCTACTCAGTGCACACACATTTATTAGGCTCTATTTGTTGCATATACCAACTCTCTGAAGTTTCAAGACTTAAGCTACTCTTCCTAAAAACAAAAACCTCATGTAAACTCAAGATTTAAGTGACATTTAGGCAATCATATCTTCAAAACAAAAAAAGTTCCAGCAAAAATCTATGTTATTTTCTTCAGATAAACTTGCTGTGACTTAAAATAAGAAAAATCATTGGGAGAATCTGCTATATTTGGCAAGATTGATGGCTTTTGGTACTTTTAACTGCCATTTATACTTGATAAAGTAGCAAAAAGCAACTTTTTCTAACCTATGCTGATGTTCTGGTGACTGTAGGAGAACCCCTTTTAAAACCACACAACCTCAAAGTGAGAGTTGCAGGTTGACAGAATGAATTACGTCAGACACCACATTCAACAAGTGTACTATAGTACATGCCATTGCCACAATCATAAGTATAGCATAACACAATTAAATGAAACACTAATTTTTTCAAAAAAATAATAAGAGTGTTCTGACTTGCTTGCTGCTGCAGCAATTGAAGGTGTAGCTGAAATATAAAGTGTGGCTGAAATATAAGGTGTGGCTCAGACTGCTCAATCATAGATGGCTTAATTCAATCAACTGAATCAAGCATAATAGCTTATGCACCAGTGAAAATGGTGTCATGTGGCCTTACTGTGGACAAAAGCTTTAGTTTTTAAGGCATATACACACTTTAACACAGACTCATTAGGCTCTGCTATAGTTTCATGCAATTCCTACAAAGGATAGGCTGACTATGCATATGCAGGACTAGGCAACTACATATATAGAGTCCTTGCCCAAGCTAGTCACTGGTGAGACCAAAAATTTTAATATCTTGACACCTAAGTACAATTTTGGATTGATAGGCCAAATGTCTAAGGGTAATATTAATTCAAAATATTCAAGGTATATGGTATCATCTATGGGATATAAATGCATAGTGCAAATCACTCATTATATGGCATAATAAGTTATAAATATGAAAACTGGCATATTTTGTTTGGAATACTGTATTGTTGGTACATTCCATCAGTATTTAATTTGTTATTTATATTCTCATTTTTGTGCAACAAATATATTCTGAATGAAAATTAATGTAGGGTAGGTGTGAATGGAATGCCACATAAAATGAACAAAAATTTCTAATCCAGCCTAGAATAAACATTTCCCCAGACAAAAAATACCTACTGTACAGTATATTTTTTTAGGATGGTGAAACTCTGCTCCATTGTGCTGCTAAATCTGGTAAAGTTGAAATGCTTAAGTTTTGGATTAAGAGAGGAGATTATGATATAAATGTTAAAGATAAAGTAATTTCTTTCAAATTAACTGCCACTTTATGTTGGGATATAGAGGAAGAGAACTCCATTGTTTAATGCTGTTAAGAAAGGCAGCATTGAAGCTGTTGATATTCTATTGACTAATAGAGCTAGAACTGATGTTGTAGATAAAGTGAGGAAATTTTAAACTTAATAAATGCATTTCATGTATACTTGCTAGTTGCTACTAGCTTTATACCTATTACAGTAGTGTTGGCAAAATACAAATTGTTTATAGTTTTTCTAAAAATTATTAAAGTTTCAGGCCATTATGTTTATTATTATGCATATA